CCTCTCTGGGATAATAAAGTTGTCTTTACTCTCTTCTACCTTTGTTCCTATCTATTCCCTTTTCCTCTCCACTGTGTGCTCTAAGAAAGTCTTTGCCCATGCTGGGATTGCTTTTGAGTAGGACATAACCTGTCCCAGGGGATTCACCTTTGGTCGATCTTCCTGTTGTCTCTCACCTGATCTAATTATTTATCTGGGCAAGGGAGATGGAACCAGTGCACTCACTGCATGTGAAATGTGGACCTTTCCAGGTCCGTTGCTGCTGAATCTGTTGTTAGGTTCCTTCTGAATATCTTACATTTTTCCTATGTGTTATAGCCCTTGACTCATGTTTAAATTCTTTTAGGCAATTACCTCCTCTCTTTGCTTCTCCTGTATCTTTTTGTATCTCTTAACTTTTCTACTTTCTGGGGTTTTTTTCCTGGAAACTTTGTGAGGTTAATTGAATATTTAAACAACTTTCTTTCTCATCAAATTCAAGTCATATTTCTCAAAGTGACTAATTCCATCAATGGACTATAATCACTTCATTTGCATAGTCTGTAATAGCTTCATTTGTATATTCCTTAGTGTATGGACTCTGGTGGAGTCAGGGAGGTCTGGTGGCTTAGTGGTAAGGAATCATGTTGCCAAGCTAAGGTACAAGATTTGAATCCAGAAAAAGGATGGGCAATCTCCCATACGATTTACTGCTGGAGGGCCAGTTATGTTTCTAACTGGACAGTACACACAATAAAAACCACATAGTACTAATTCTTACAAAATCCCACCAACCTCAGGACATATTGTAGTCCAGAGCTAAACAAAGTATCAAACCATCAAGTTGTTTAGATGTCACCACATGTCAAATCAACTTGGATGAAAATATTAAGCCTCCTGGGGTAGAAAACTAGAACTTAGAGTTAAGGGGAGAAATCTCTCCAGGTGTCAGAAGAAGGGGGGCTATCTAATAGGAAGGTGGAGAATGCCCGAGACCAGCTTTACCTATTTCAGGCCAATTGTTAGAGGGTTAGAAATTCTGTCTTAACATGAGAAATTCACCCCACCCCACCCCCCAACTGTGGTAAAGGTCACCATAAATCAAGATTTAAGAATGAGGTGAGATAGAGTGGCTCAAACATACAGTTGCAGTGTGATTGTTCTGTTGGTCTAGCCCATAAAGTACAGTGCTAATCAAAAGGCTGTGTCTCTGGCAATTTGAATCCACCAGCTACTTCTCAGGAGAAGACTGGACAGTTCTCTGCTATTGCAATTTACAGCCTTGTAAACCCAGAGAACTTGATGGTCTCTATTAACAATAAACAAACCCAATGGAGTTGCTGTGAGTTGGAACTCACTGGATAGTGGTGAGTTTGAGTATAATTGACTAAATGATCTTGATATCAAACAAGCAACTGTTATGGGGTGTTTTTTAAATGCTATTTTCCGTTAAATTTTAATGTCCCACCAACCATGCAGTAATGTCCTGTCCTCCTCTATTGTAAATTCATCCCAGTTTATTCTAAATTGATTATCAAGATCTTGTTCTCATTTTGAGGAAAATGACTCAATCATAGCATCTTTGGCTTCTTCCACATAATTGCAGTGAGCTGTTTCTGAGTAATGAGCAATGATTTTTCCCTTTTTTAAAATTATGTTTTATACTGATTTGCATACAAAGTTCATAAACATCATTTTTCACACCGGACCTTTCCCCTTTCCTTTACCAATCCCTCCTTCCACCCATTAAACTGTGCAACCTTATGTTAAAAGCTCCCCTCCTCCCCACATGCTTTACAATAAAGGTCCTATACAGTATTCATCTTTATAAGATTGTGTTAGTTCACTTAGCATAATACTCTCCAGTCCCTCCCATATTAGGTAGTAATTTAAAAAATATCTTTGCCCCTATGTGCTGCATAGTATTCTACTGTGTGAATGTACCATAAATTCTCAATCCATTCCACTATGTTTCGGCATTTGGGCTGTTTCCACATTCTGGCTATGGTGAATAATGCTGCTTTGAATATTGTGCCTCAGTTCTCATTTTCTCAGGGTAAATTCCAAGCAGTGGATTATCATATGGATCAGTAGATATGCATAGGTAATTTCTATGTTCAGTTTTTTTTATCCAAATTTCCTTCCCCCCCCCAAATATCCTTTTAATAGGTTGGTTTTTTTTTTTAAATTTCCTACTAGTTTATTTACAAACTTCGAATACATTGTTTTCAAGAACAAATTCTTTCAATTTCCCTTACCCTTCCATCCATCAAATTGTACAGTCCCATGATTAATCTCCTTTCCCCCTGCACGTTCTCATCCCTCTGCTTCCATCCCTCTTGGATCATTATACTCATTCTACAATAATGGTTTTATACAATATTTATCCTTGTGGGACTGAGTTAGTTCACTCAGCATAATGCTTACTAGTCCCTCTCAAGTTAGGTAATAATTTACAAAATCATTGCTCCTGCATGCTGAATAGTATTCCACTGTGTGAATATACAATAATTTCTCCATCCAAGACCTCCTTTCTCGCCACATCCTCTCCAACATTTATTACTTGCTGCCCTGTTAAACTTTGCCACTGCTACTAGAGTAAGATGGTATCTCATTGTGGTTTTGATTTGCATCTCTTATTGACAGTGATTTGGAGATCTTTCCCTTTCTTATTCTCTCTCTCCTCTTTTGTCATCTTTTGGCAGTATGATGGCCTGCATCTCAGCTGAGAATCATAATCTTTTTCCCCATGATCAGCACCTTTTTTGACATACCCCCCCATCCTTATCACTACTAATTCCTGGACATTTTATCCAATGATTCTTTCTGGATATGAGGTACTTAGCTGGTGTAAAGGTTCTGAGTAATTCCAAGCAAGAAGCTGTATATTTTATAGTCCTATTGAGAACTTCTATGCAAAGGATCACAAGTTGTGGCTGACTCACAAGAATGGGAATCCCAGAACATTTGCTTCTGTTAATGTGAAACCTATACTTGGACCAAGAGGCAGTCGTCAGAACAGAGCAAGGAGACACTACATGGTTCAAAATCAAGAAGGGGGCTTGTCGGGGATGTATTCTGTCTCCATATCTTTTCAATCTGTATGCAGAACAGATCATCTGAGATGTCAGGCTGTATGAAGAGGAATGTGGCATCAGGATTGGTGGAAGAGTCATCAACAACCTGCATTATGCAGATGACACAACCCTGCTTGCTGAAACTAAGTAGGACCTGAAGAGCTTGCTGCAGAAGGTCAAGGACTGCAGCCTCCTATATAGATTGAAGCTTAACATCAAGAAAACAAAGATTCTCACCACTGGGCCAACTGGCAGCATCAGTATGGATGGTGAAGAGATTGAGGTAGTTAACAGTTTTAGTTTACTTGGCTCTACAGTCAACACTCTTGGTAACAAGAGCCAGGAAATCAAGAGATGAATTGCATTGGGAAAGTCAGTTGTGAGGGACCCCTCAAGAGTTCTGAAGAGCAACAGCATCAGGCTGGAGACTAAGTTGTGCCTGATCCAGGCTATAGTCTTCGTAATTAAATGCTACGCATCAGAGAGTTGGACAGTGAATAGGGATGATAGAAAGAGAAATGATGCCTTTGAGCTGTGGTGCTGGAGAAGAATGTTGAATATACCATGGAATGCTAGGAGAACAAACTGGTTTGTCCTGGAGAAGGTGAAGCTGGAATGCTCCTTGGAGTCAAGGATTCTGAAGCTTTATCTGACACACTTTGGGCATGTTGCAAGGAGGGACTGGTCCCTGGAGAAGGACATCATGTTTGGCAGGGTGGAGAGGTGGCAGGAGAGGAAGACCTTGGATGAGATGGATCGATTCTGTGACTGGAGTGATGGGAATGAGTGCATTTGAGATGGCTAGGTTGGCACAGGATAGAACGGCATGTAGGGCTCTTGTACATAGGTTTGCTATGAGTTGCAAGTAACTTGATGGCCACAACAACAACAACATTGAGACCTTATAAGAGATGCTCTTCCAGAATGGGGAAAGCACCTGGCAGGGTTTAATTCTAACCTCTGTGAATGGTGATGATCTGAACTGTAGCCAGAAAAGACCTTTTTTTGCCTTTCTCTGCCATTTTTTCTCATAGACAAGTGTGGTTTTGGAGTTTAGCTTAAGAGTTTCAAGGAATATTATCCCCATGCATCCCTGAGTGGAGGCTTTTTAGAATACTGGTCGGTTATTTGTTTAAAGGTAAAACATAAAAAACCTTGTATCATCAGCCGCATGCTCTCTCCTGTGATTGTTGACAATTCCCACTTAAGTTTGTGTTCTTTAAGTTTCAGCTATTGAGTTGTGTAATTATATAGATAGAGGAACAATAAATTTTTATTTACTCTCAAAAACTATATGACAACAGGAAAATAAATATTAGATACTTTATTTTTATACATTAACAAAACTTAGTTATTAAAATTATTAGGGTATAATGTTTGATCACTTTGTGCTTTTTCATCATGTAAATTTCAAATAATAAATATTCACTGAATTTCTTAATAAACAGTTTAACAGATTGTAATGGCTAAAGTAGGAGTAGCAAACTAAACTACTGTTCTTTGAATGTGACCTACAAAATACGATGTTTATGTCTTATTTATACTTCCTACTTCTTGCACCTCATAATTTTCTTTTTCTCTTTCTCCTTTTTATTTTCTGAGTTTGTTTTTTCTTTAGTTTCTTTTTCTTGTATATGCTTTACTTCACAAGTGACTGTGTATTTATTTCTTAGGTTGTTTAGTGGCCTTCTGAAATAAAGAGTGGAATATTGATTTAACTTGTTTTGAATATTGCCACTTTCATTTTCTCCAATTCCAACTAAATTTCTTAACACTACTAACAAAGTTTTAAGTTTACTAACTTTTAAGTTTATAGTGCATTATGTTTTAAATTCACACTAAATCTAAATTAAAAAAAATGATAATGAAAGATTTATGCTAAGTGGCTAGAAGAGCCCTGTTTAGTAGGTCTGATTTTAAAGTCAAAGCAAAGCACATTAGCATTCAGTCTGTGGAAGCTTTCTCTTGCTTAGCCTTTTGTCCTTCTGTTGTTATTCCAGATACAACCATCAAGTTAGTCGCACTGCTGGCAAGTCCTGATCGGTCTAATTTACACTGCATGGACTTAGCAATCCTAGGATGGCCATGCAGACTTTTTGACCTCATAGATGGGAATCCAAAAGCTTGATGTGGTTTCACAGACAGTAAGTTTTCCTTTTCTGTTCTGTCAGTACCAGCTAGGGGTAAGAGAGAGACTTGAGAGAATCTTTTAGAAACATAACTTTCAGCGTCAGTACCTGCATACTGTTCTTTTTGCTCAGCTTGCACTGCAGCTTCAGACACAATAAAGGGAATATCTGTGCTACAAGACCGTGTGATCTTTTGAACTTGACATTTCCATTCTGTTGTCCATTGTTGTACTGTAGGGGGCCCTGTGTGGTCCAGCATTGAACTGTATTTTGCACTCCAGTTGTTAACCCCACTGACCAGCTTTCCTCCATGAGAATACACAAAGCTTTTGGATTTCATTGTTTTAGAAGTGTTGAAAGTGTCATCAGGGTGATAGTGGGTAATTTTTTTTTCTTCCGAAGGATAGGAAACAATGCCTTCTTCCTTTGTCGTATCCACTGTTAGCTGAGTGCTTTGAAAATCTGGTTTATTCTGTTCTTGTATGTTATCTATTTGATCAGTTTCTTCTCTTGTAAAGTCTGCCTGCATTCCATCATCCTCTCTTGAAATCCCAATGTCTGGACCTAATTTTGGCTCTGGTAGATTCTCAGAGTTGTCTGATGTAAGTCTACTGCTGTCTGGTGGGCTTGGGCTAGGTAAAAGGTGATGGCTGTCCTGATGCTCAGGCACCAGATGGATTTTTGTGTCTTTTTCTTCCTTTGTGCGGAAAGAACAAGCTTTTTTCATTAATTTTCTTGCTGGTGACATGGAGAGAGAAGTATCCTCATACAATAACTCTTCTCCATTAAAATGGTATCTGTACATGCTGTAGCCATCAGCACTGTTGATACTACTTTGCCTTAGAAGAAAAGTTGCATCACATTCAGAAGAAGCTCGAGATCGTGTCTGTATTAGGTCAGACTTGTCAATTCCGGCAAGATTTTCAAGAGCATTCACCATTCTGCTAGATAATTCTTCTAGTTGACAAAGTCGAAGGTCCACAGTCTGTAGGGAAGCCTTCATAAAGTTTTCTCTTTCATTGACTTCTTCAAGCCTCATTGACATATTTTCAACTCTGGAGAATACAAAGCATAGATTTATTAAAATGATATTAACTATATATAAAAAACAAAAGATGGTGTTATTGGTGTATAAATTTTCAGCCTTTTGAGAATCACAGACTTTGAGCATATTTTCCATCTTCATATATTCATTTCTGATATTATTATGAGTGACTTCACAAAATAATTGAAATGATTGTTAATGAATATGGTACTTACTGTTTACCAGCTGTTGTTCTAAGTATCTTAAATGGATTTATTGGCAAGTACTAAGTGAAGTTTTTGTTCATAGCTTTTTGAATTCTTACAACAGCCATAGAGTGTAGGTACTATTGTAACATCTTCATTTTACATATACAAAAAGTAAGTTAAGGAGAGTGTAAGAAACTGCTGCTAAGTTGAGAACTAGATGTGGCTGCACATAGTCTAACTCCAGTATTTGTTTCAGCCTTTGTCTCTTAACTGCTTCTAATGAAAAAGAAAAATACCAGCATTTCATATTTTAGGTTTTGACTATGGTTATAAACAACAAATGCTTACATAATGACAAAATAAATAATCTTCCTTATTGGAAGCTCAGGGGTTTTTTTAATGCCCTGAACTTCCAATAAGGAAGATGATTTATTTTGTCAAACCCCAACTGTCAATAATTAAATATAGATTATTGATTTAAGGACAATACCCAAACTCATTGCTGTCTCATAGCAACCCTGTAGGATAAAGTGGAATTTCCCTCAGGTACCTAAGGCTGGAACTCTTTACAGAAGCAGAAATTACCTCTAATGGAAAAACTGGTGGATTTGAACCACTAACTTTTTGATTAATGGTTAAGTGCTTTAGTCACTGTACCACCAGGGCTACATTTAGGCACACTGTCACTCAGCTCACTGCTGTCCAGTCGGAATCACCTTCCAGTGGAAATCACATGAAAGGAGATTGTCCATCTTTCTCCTGTGCAGCCATAGGTAGCTTCGAACTCCCGGAGAATCTCACTACGAATGAAACCTCAGAGCTCCCTTAAGGATCAGTAAGTCATTTAATTGTCTGAAAAATACCTGCGACTCACTGCGACTCATAGCGACCCTAGTGACTTTAAATTTCTCATTTTATTTAATAAATTAGCATTGCCTTGGTATGGCCATACAGTATAAATTCTGTCAGACTGTGTATCTCTATTCTTATTTCCCCCTCCCTGCTTTAAATTCTAGAAGATTAGATGAGAGATTATGAAGCTATAGTGTACCCTGACCAAAATCTGTTGGTAAAGATTGTGTCTTGTATGTAAAAAGTGTGTGCCATGTTAATTGCTTCACATGATCTATGAAATTTAACTCTTAAGTGTCCTGGCTTCTAAGTGGGGTCATGGGAGATCTGTTCTGGAAAGTTCTCATGTGAGAGTAAACCCTGATTCTGTTAGGGGCTTACTTTCTCCCATTCTTATGTTGGGAATATAAGAACTGTCTCTAGAGTCCCTTGCTATCTCTCATCTGTTGGTGTGTCTTCCTGTGGTGACTGGTCTGTGGCCATTATGCTGGTAGCTGTGCCACTGTTATTTCAAAGGCCAGCAGCGTCACCCATGGTGGGCAGGGATTGAAGGAACTTCTGCTGAAATCAACCATGAAGAAAGGCCTGCCAATCTGCTTCCTAAAATCATTTGAAAACCCTAAAGGGATTTTTGTCACAAGGGTTTTTTATTTATTTATTTTTTTTTATAGTGTTGGAAGATGAACCCTCTAGGTTGGAAGGTACGCAAAATACACAATTTCACAATGGCTACAACAGTGAACTCTAGCCTACTGGTGACCATAAAGATAGTGCAGGGTAACATTTCATTCTGTTGTGCATGGGGTCACCAGGCGTTGAAGTGACTCAATGTAGTTAGCAATAGCATCATTTGACTTGCAGCACCATCTGATTCTACTAGGTTTCTATGAGATATTTGCTGACTTTTCTACATAACCTTACATAGTTCCTCACTTACTCACTTTTCTTTTTTCCTCTCTGGTCCACCTCAACACAGAGTGCTTCCTCACTGTGTTGTTTCCTGGTGGCATTCCCTGCCATGCTCACTTCTCTGTGCTGCCCTGTTGTTGTGTACACCCCCACCCCCACCCCCCACCATGGGTTTTCAGAAGCAGTTCATCAAATGGGAGGAGACTGCCCATCTTTCTTCGCAGAGCAGCTGCTAGGCCACCACAGCTTCCTCTGTGCTGCCCTGCCTGACTGTATATGCTCCAAGTCCCTGCTGTTGCTTCTGCTACTGCCCTACCCTATGTTCTTCCCGCATTTGCTTTTGCAAATTCTATGTTTGTTAGACACATTGAAAATTGTGTTCTGATGTGTGGGAGGGTTCTTGACCTCTATCCTTAAACATCTCTTTTTTTAGGAGAGAAGACTATATGTCCGTTAGGAAACCACATCATTTGAGCAGCAAGGGTCTGGCTTTCTGGAAGTTTGCCACCAAGAGGACCAGTTCTCCCTGCCTGAAACGTCTTGCTTATCCTCTTTTAAATATCCCACGGTACAAGTTCAATGAATTCGGTCTTCTCTGGAATTTCAGGGATCAGCATAGACTCTATTAATTATTCATTATTTTTAGTTAAACTTGTGTTTCTCTCCCCCAGCCCACCACCCCTGCTCTGGTGGCCTGGAGGCAAGAAGCTCTCTTGGCCAAATGATAGTACGAGGCCACCAGCAGCTCCGCAGGAGGGTGGCCAGTCTCCTGTGTGATTAACTGCTTCTGAAAATCCGTCAGAGGCTCAGCTATGGATCAGTTCCGACACTATGTCTTCGAGTTGCTTGTGACTCATAGCGACCCAATATACAACAGCCCTAAACCCTGCTCTGTCCTGTGCCAATCGCACTGTCTCCAACACTCCCACCCCAATTACCCCACCTCATAATAATTGCTCTTTTTCACCCCAAATCTATTACTCCTAATGATCTGTGTTTTTTTAAATTTTGTTTTATTAATTTTAATGAACATTTATATAGATTTTGGATTTCTATTCATTCATTGTTGCACTTTTCTCCCTGCCCATCCGCGCCCCCAGTTCACTCCTCTCTTTGAAAAGTAAAAGAAAAATTCTTTCATTGGTATACAATCCCCCCACCCCCTCCCCCCCTACTGCCCTGAATACACTCCTCTGTGAAACCTTAATTCTTGACTCTTGTGATAACCATAATACCCTATTATATATCACTTTTAAACTGTTCTTTCCCTCATCTGTTTCAATGCAGTATACTTAATTTATCCAGTTTTTCTCAGTCTTACCCCAACCCTGATGTCAGTCCCATTCTACAATAGTGGTACAATGAAGTATTTGTCCTTTTGTGACTGAAATATTTCACTCAGCATAGTGTCTTCCAGGGCCACCCTTTTTGAATAATATTGCATAAGTTCCTTGTTTTTCAATGCAGCATAGTATTCCATTGTGTGAATATACCACAACTTCTCTACCCATTTGTTTGTTGATGGGCATTTGTGTTGTTTCCAACCCCTTGCTATCGTGAACAAAGCTGCAATAAACATGGGTATGTATGCATGTATCTGCTTGGATGTTGGTTATGGTCTCTTTAGGGTATATCCCCAGTAGTGGAATTGCTAGGTCAAATGGTATCTCTATTTGCAACCTTTTGAGAAAGCGCCACACCACTTTCCACCGTGGTTGCACCATTTTACACTTTCACCAACAGTGAATAAGGGTTCTAGTTCTCCACAACCTCACCAGCATTTGTTGCTTGCTGTTCTGTTAAATTTTGCTATCCTAACTGGGATGAGACGATGTCTCATAGTTGTTTTGATTTGCATCTTTCTTAGTACTAGGGATTTTGAACATTTCTTCATGTGCTTGTTGGCCATGTGAATGTCTTCTTTGGTGATGTGTCTGTTCATATTCTGTGCCCATTTTTCAATTGGATTATTTACCTTTATCTTGTTGTGGTATAATGATCTCTTTTGTATTAAAAATCTCACTTGTTCCATAACAAAGCTGAGATAGTTTAACCTGCACTGCATTAATTTGTAGCTGCACAGAAACAAACTGGTACAATGCTGATATGTATCTCTCTACTCCTGTACTGATTCAGTTCTCAGACTCAGTGGTGGGAGGTTAAGGCAGTGTCATTTTATTCTATCACTACTTCTCTGGTTGCCATCAAGTTGATTCCATGAACAGATCTATATTTCATAATATTTTCAGTGGCTACAATTTTTATTTTATTTTTTTTAGTGGCTACAATTTTATATGTTAATCACTAAGTCTTTCTTCTGATGATGTACTTTAACTGCCAATTTTGTATTAGGAATGGAACATATTAACCACTTTCTCATTTAGGCATTCTCCCACTCTACTGCTACTACCTTCCCATTCTCCCTCCCTTAGTTAAGGCTGAAAGAGTGTTTCATATTGTAGTTTAAGCCAAGACATTGCCAGATGCTGTTTCAAGCTTGATGAAAATAGTTATGAGGAGTAGCTATGCCAAATATGGAGGGTTCTGGAGGATAGCCCAAATAAGGTGGTGCCTCTTTGGTGGTTCAAATCCATAAGTGGTTCTGTGGGAGAAAAATGGGCAGTTTCCTCCCTTGCAAATTACAAGCTCAAAAAACCCTTGGGGGGTCAGTTCTGAGTGGATTTTGACTTGGCAGCAATAAGAATGATGAAATGTTAAACACAGGGAAGTTATATTATGTTTTTATAGTGAAAGGGGAAAGACAAATTGCACTTAATTTCACTTATATCTGAAGTCATTAAAAAAAAGACAAATGATGATCTCTTTTATATGCTAGCTATGTTTTATGATTTTCCACAGTTACCTAAAAGGTATCTAATAGACCTTGACATCAGTACAAAGAGTGATTTACATTTCAGATAGGTAATGACAAATGTTTGGGAACCAGTTTGAGAAGAATCCCTTATCTGTTTACATTGAATGGCAGGAAAACTTAAAAGTGAAATGGAGAATTTATGATGATATAACTCATAGTGAGATTGGATTTATTTCCCCAAAAATT